GCTTAGAGCTAATAGGACTTGACTCGATACTGCTATTACTTCTACTGTATGCTTCATTGAGATATATTACATCCTATAAGTAAAAACAATCATTAAATATCATTAGACGGTAACAAGAGTAGCGCAATGAAGAAAACGGTGTAATATTACTTCAAGGTCCTTCGCTGAGATATTGTATGCTGTTCTCAGTTGGTCTATCAATCCTTCTAATCTAGTTCCAAGACCGGAAAGTGCAACCGCAGCTCCGGAAACGGCGGCTCCTTGTGTGAGTAGAAGTTCCCTGCTTCGTCGTTCGACTGCGTTCAATTTCATGCTCATAGACAAATTCTCTTGTCTACAAATGGACAAAGAAACAACGTCGGTAAGAAGGCTCACATTTACCCAAACATTTTAGGATTTCTTTGTTTGCTCTGTGTAAATACTTGCCTTCGTTGCTCGCTGATTCGTACTAAGTGCTTGCACTCCTCAGTCTGTCTCTCCAATTCCAGCCCGCGTTTCGTCAATAATTCTTCCTTCTTGGAAAGCTATAAACCAAGAAGAGCAATTACACCGAAGTTCTTGGACCGTATAGCGTCCGTATTTGTAAAAAGAATACCTCTGTCTCTGCCTCTTTTAGGGCATCCGCCAGAGTAGCTTTCTCCTCTTGAAGGAAGTCCTGCATTTCCGCTGATTCTGCCTCTAATTCTTGTTGTTGTTGCAGTAGTGCTTTCTGGGCAGCCAGACTCTTCTCTAAATCCTTGATAAAAGAATAAAGAAAATATACAAAAGTAAAAAAACAATTTTTAAAACATGTCTTTGCATTTTAAACATATTAATATATCTTACCCTATTTAACATACGACACAGAGACTGCAAATCAGCTATTTCCAACTGTTGACTAGCAACCACCTGACCAGAGGACTGTAAGTGACACTCTAGCTCTAAGAAGCTATCACTGCCTTCTGTAATTAACTCATTATTACTCATCCTTTAAAAAAAAAACCACAAAATATCAGTAAACAATCAATCAATGACTACCTGCATGTTCTGATTGCGGTGTCCCTAACATTGCCAGTACTCTTTGTGCATTTCTATCCAACTCCTGCCTTGCAAACGCATGATCAGCTTGCTCCTCCTCGAGCAAACGTTTCACCTCGGTGATCTCAGCCTTCAACTTGTCGTTCTCCTCCTTCCTGTTCGTCGTCTCCTCGTTCAATCTCTTCAAATCACTCTGCATAGCGTGCATATCCTCCCATGTACCCTCTGTTTGGCAGCCCTCGTGCAGTCTCTCGACCACTTCCGGCCCAGTCACTACACTTGGCACCCCAGACAATGCATTCTCAATGTCTTGACCGGTCAGACCAGTTTGCACGCTGGTCTCATGGTAGATACGCGTCTTCTCAGCAATCTTGTGCCTAGGATATGGTGGTAAACTCTTGTGACCACCAACAGACTCTTTAATCCCAATCTTCCTCTCAGCCTGCCTGTTCAAACTAGCGTCCCTGCTGCCAGACCTACTTCTGGTCACTTTGTCCGTCTTTTCACTGACCTTAGCGATACTCATCTTGTTTCTGTTTCTTCTAGGCAATGTGGCGTACGTATCCAAAGCCTTATTGTCTGTACTCATACTCATTCTATCTGATCTAGAGG